GCCACCATGCCTGGCTAATTTTTTCTATATATTTTTTAGTTGTCCAATTAATTTCTTTCTAATTTTAGTAGAGACGGGGTCTCGCTCTTGCTCGGGCTGGTTTTGAACTCCTGAGCTCGAACAATCCGCCCGCCTCGGCCTCCCAGAGAGCTAGGATTACAGGTGTGAGCCACCGCTCCCGGCCTGTAGACCTGGATTTTGAACCTAGTTTTAAGAAGCAAACAGGTGTTGGGCATGGTTATTCTATCTATACATTGAATTGACTATATGGCATCCTTTTGCCAGTGAGTTTAATGCAACATGTTCTGTAAAGCTAGATGACTTGTAATTTCCTCCACAAATACTGAGCTTTTACGGAAGCAATTTTTCTGTAAGGGAGTATCTCTGGCCATAAAGGATTTAAACATGGTGGGATTCTTTGTTTTGGTACATTATTTCTTAATCCCCTTCTGTTAATTAATTTTTCTTCATATTATAGGCATATAGTTGGAAAGAGAGGGGACACTAAGAAGAAAATAGAAATGGAGACCAAAACTTCTATTAGCATTCCTAAACCTGGACAAGATGGAGAAATTGGTGAGACTTAGTATATGTGTTACATTTGCAATCACTTGTGCATATGTATGGAATAATTTAACCCTATTGCAGCATTTAATGACTGTGTTCTCTCTATGGGGTTCTGTAGCTGTTGCCCTTTTAATGATATATCAGTATGAATCTCCCAAATGAGGAAAGATGGAGTTATACAACCTTATCTTGATTGAGTAACTGGGCCTTAATTTTACACTTTGCCATACATTGATAGAATAAAGCTTCCAGTTTCATTGTGTATTACAGGAGATTTCTTTTATGCTTTGGTAGCTTGAAATGGAGTTTGTGAATTGTTTCAAGTTAGAATGAGAGAAAACCAGTGAGATCTGTGAATATGAAATAAATTTCAGCCTTTTCCGTAAGTGTTCTCTTAAGCTTTTTACCCTTGCTTTATAGACCAGGAAGGAAATTGTTTAATACAAGAGTAATGATTTAAATAATATAACCTGACTCAAATAACTATTCAGATGAGGAAAAATAGTTTGGCAGTATAAATCAAGTCAGAAAGTGTCTGTACCAAGCATCAGTGTGAACCAGGACACACTGTACTTTGGCTTTGAGTGAGGAATACTGTAGAAACAAAATTGTAAACTCATTCTAGAATCAAAGTCAAAGTCAAAGAGTGCAGCCGTCTTCAATAATCCATTTTCCATAAACACCCATCGAGTATATTGAGTTTTAGCAGAAAAAATTACAAGTACTGTTCTCATTTTGTGCTATATTAGATAATCACCTTGACGGATAGGTTGTAGTTGACTTTATTTATTTATTTATTTTTTGAGACAGAGTCTCACTGTGTTGCCCGGGCTAGAGTGCCGTGGCGTCATCCTAGCTCACAGCAACCTCAAACTCCTGGGCTCAAGCGATCCTCCTGCCTCAGCCTCCCGAGTAGCTGGGACTACAGGCATGTGCCACCATGCCCGGCTAATTTTTTCTATATATTTTTAGTTGTCCAATTAATTTCTTTCTAATTTTAGTAGAGACGGGGTCTCGCTCTTGCTCAGGCTGGTCTGGAACTCCTGAGCTCAAACAATCCGCCCGCCTCGGCCTCCCAGAGAGCTAGGATTACAGACGTGAGCCACCACGCCCGGCTCCAAACCATCTTTTTAAGGAAAAAGAGCAGATTTTGCATTTTGTACCAAACTTTTATAGAAATGAAATACAAACATGAGTTTTAAGGTTCCCTTTCCTCCCCATCCTTTTAGTTTCTCACCATGTTTTTGGTCTATGGCAGAGATAATTATAGTTTTTACTTTCCTTTAGTTTTGTTCTAGTTTACCTTTCAACCTTCCTTTGTTAGTATTTCTCTAGCACAATATTTGAGTGTCTGCTACAGATAGTTCCCTTCACTGGGCATTTGAGTCTTTTGGATTCTCATAGTATTCTATCTGATAATATAAATAATGTCATTTAAAAAACACTATCTCCACTTTTCCTTTTTTTTTTTTTTTTTTTATATTTTATGGTTGTTACTTATGTCAGCTTTTGCTTTGACAAACAATTCTCAGGCTTCTTAATAATCCATTCATAATTTACTTCTTTTCCTAGAAATTTCTATCTTGTTTCTCTAAAACAAAATGGATATAATACTTTAATTCTTATTAATAAATAGAAAGGTAATTCTTATAGAAAATTTCAACTGCTTTAATGGAAAGTGTTAGGACAAGTAAATGGAATTATTTCTTTTACTTCTACAGTTGTCTGGAAGGAACAGGCTTTGTGGTCTTTAAAACATATAGCATATTTTACTACCATTGTAGTTGGTACATCAATATTTTATTTCATATTCAGAAGTCTGTCTTTTTCCCTTTAATAAATATTCTGTTGAAATGCCAATTTTGTTAATTGTGCATATCTTCTCCACCTCTTAGTTACTGTTTCGAATCAAGCCCTGCCAGTTCGAACCTAGAAGTTTAATCTCTGCTTAAAAAGAGATTATGTAATCCCTAAATGGTTTTCTTTGTTTGCAGACAGTAGTCTAGGCTTTGTGGCTTTTTTCCCACCACTTTCATTTATTTACACATATAGACATAGCACAGACTAAAACATGAAAATTTGATATCTATAAATACAATTTATGTGTAGATAAGCATTTTTACTTTAACTTTCTATTTTTGTACACAGAGAATAGGATTATATTGTAGTAGACTCTCCTTTGCTCTTTTGCTATAGTAAATCACTAATAATTAATTTTTGCCACAGTATTTTTTTTTTTTTGAGACAGAGTCTCACTCTTTTCCCCGGGCTAGAGTGCCGTGGCGTCATCCTAGCTCACAGCAACCTCAAACTCCTGGGCTCAAGCGATCCTACTGCCTCAGCCTCCCGAGTAGCTAGGACTACAGGCATGCGCCACCATGCCCAGCTAATTTTTTCTATATATTTTTAGTTGTCCGATTAATTTCTTTCTAATTTTAGTAGAGACGGGGTCTCGCTCTTGCTCAGGCTGGCTTCGAACTCCTGAGCTCAAACAATCCGCCCGCCTTGGCCTCCCAGAGAGCTAGGATTGCAGGCGTGAGCCACCGTGCCCGGCCACACAGTATTTTTTTTAATTTAGGTAAAATTCACATAAAAGAAAATTCCATTTGTTTGCCTTAATTTTTTGTTAATTGTGTTTTTCTTTTTTTTTATTGTGGTAAAATATACAGGACATAAAATTTACCATTCGATCTTGTGAAAATGTTAAATTCGCTGGCATTTAGTACATTCACAATGTTGTGCTACCATCACCACTGTCTATATCCAGAATATTTTGTCATCCCAAAAGGAAATTCCATACCTGTTAAACAGTCACTCCCCATTCTGCCCTACCCCCAACCCCTAGCTACCGCTAATCTGCTTTCTGTCTCTGAATTTGCTTGTTCTGGATATTTCCTATAAATGGATATATAAAATATGTACCTTCTTATGTCTGGCTTCTTTCACTTAGCATAATGTTTTCAAGGTTCATCCTCGTTGTATCATGTACCAGCATTTCATGAGAAATTTATTGCTGAATAATATTCTTTTTTATGGATATATCACATTTTGTTGATCTCTTCTTCAGTTGATGGACATTTGGGTTGTTTCTACCTTTTGGCTATTATGAATAGAGCTGCTGTGAACATTTGTGTACAAGTTTTGTTTGAACACCTGTATTTACTTATTTTGGTATCCCTAGGAGTGGAATTTCTGGGCTGTAGGGTAATTCTATATTCAACTCTTTAAGGGATGACCAAACTTTTCAATAATGGCTATACTATTTTACATTCCTACCAGCAATGTATGAGGGTTTGTTTTGTAGCTTTTGAACTCATTTTTTCTATTTCATAAAGTGATCTTAAGGATATTCTATTTTTAAGCCTGATTCTGCTTAAATTGAATTCATTAACAACTTTCTTACACATGGCATTGTCCCCTGTTAAGATTTATGCACTCATTCAGAACCTTTTTAGCTCCCCATAGATGACAGTATCAAGAAGTTACCTATCTTAAAAGCATTTGGTGGTCCTTGAGCGTGTTAACTCTTTTTTCTTTGCTTGCAGTAATCACTGGCCAGCATCGAAATGGTGTAATTTCAGCCCGAACTCGGATTGATGTTCTTTTGGACACTTTTAGAAGAAAGCAGCCCTTCACTCACTTCCTTGCCTTTTTCCTCAATGAAATTGAGGTTCAGGAAGGATTCCTGAGGTTCCAGGAAGAAGTACTGGAGAAGTGTTCCATGGTAAGTAGCAAACAAAACAAAAAGTTAAAAAAAAAATTGAATATAAAAAGAGTACAAAAGTGGTTCATAAATCAAACAATAGGAAGATACAAAACTCTTCCCCCACCAAAAAAGGTAACTATTTCTGATGGTTTCTTATAATACTGAACTGAAAAAAAAGTATTGACATATTAGTCCATAAATTTCTATATATTACCAAAATATCTTTTAAAAATTTGAAGACACAAAAGGCTCATCCTAATATATACACTATTCTCCACCTTTTGGGTGGCAGTGTTAATGAGTGCCATTATGTGTGGATTTTCTGCTTTCTGGCAGTCATGGTTCATTTGAGGTTTGTAACTAAAAGACAAATTTGCATATAGAATTGTAACAGTGAAATTCTTGTGAGCAGAATAATAGCAGAATATCCAGATTAGAAAACAAGTTTTAAAACTCCTTTTAGAAATAATTTTAGTTGATTTAAAAAATTTTGTGAAAGCCATATATGTTTATTATAGAAAATTCAGAAAAGATTAATCAAAAATCACCCATAATCCCACCACTGAGAAATACTATTGTGGCATATTATATATACCTGAGTGTATAAATGTGTGCGTACACACATAGACATTTAAAAAAATAAAATTTAGCTTGTATATAGTCTTATAGTTTGCTTTCGTTGAAACATAGCATTATACCATGAACATTATTTTGTCAATGAACAGAAACCTAAATGTTTTACCTTTGACTTGGAGGTCAGGTAGGAAATTATAGCAGTGATGACTAAAGTAGCATAATGATTTCATTAACTGTTCAGATGACTTGATTTTTTAATGGCTACTTACTATTCTATTATATGGATGTATAATTATTCAACCTTTATTGTTTCTATTTTCATTATTATAAATAATGTTGATATGAGTATTCTGCATACATTTTTTGGCACTACTCTGATGATTTTCTTACTTAAATTCCTAAAAGTGGAAAAAGAGTGTGTGTCTTTGAGTTTTTTGATATTTATATCATCCAGATTACCTTCAGGAATATAGGACTTTATATTCCAAACCAGAGTTTTCTTTAGGTTTCTTTTCCCACTTTTGCCAATACTGGGTGTTATTCTTTTAAGATTTTTTAAGTAATCCAATTGACAAAGTATTAGTTCATTTGCTTTATTGTTTATTTGATTATTTGTAAGATAAGACATTTTCATATATTCTGTTGTTTCTTCATGTCTTGGCCCATTTGTTTTTGGAAGTATTCTTTCTTTAAATTTATTTGTAAGAGCTTCATATGTATTAAGATCAGTATTACTTCATAAGTTACATTTAACTTTTTATTTCCTTTAGAATATATTTTGATATTTGGTAAGAGGTAAGGCTGTAAGTTTTTTAAACGCCTATTT